AAACCGGGAAGCAATTGCTCGGCGTAATCGCAGTAGTTGGCCAAGCTTCAAGACATTTCGATCCATTGATCACTAACATCACGGAATTATTTAAATCTATTCTCGAAGTATACGAAAATATACAATATAATAAAAGAATATGTGATTGCTTGGTGGATAGGATAGAGTCAGCAGAGGTGGCAATAAAGTCGCTCAAACGACACAAGGAAGAGAACGCTGGATATTTTTTTAAGCAAAATATATATGATAACTTTCACCGATTAATTTCTATACTGGAAAGAATGCAACGATTTATGATAGACGTGTCGCAACTTAGTGGGTTGAGAAAGTTCAACGATGTAGGTGTTATCAGGAAACAATTTGAGGATATAATAAAGGAATTTGATGAAGTGGCAGCAAATTTACGACTAAAGAAGTCGTTTTCAGAGAAAGAACAATTCATAAGAGACGAAAATGCCATAAAAGAGGATACAATAATAATGCACAAGGTGCGAATTTTACATTAATAATTTCATTTGATTGTTTCAGTTGAGTAAATAGATAACAAGCACTTGATTTTATAGTTTCTGCACATAGTGAAAGGTGGTTTTACGACCACAAAAAAAGACATCGCAACTAGCACGCCGCAAATTAGAGAAATCTTTGAGGAAATAATATTAAGGAAAAATCACGTTATGGAATCTAACAAGTCGGCGAATACAAAATTCAAAACAAAAGTCATACCCTCAAGTGAGATCACCGAGGTTCATGATCAATCCAACGAAAAATCACAGGGGAACGTTCGAAAAATGTTGTACTTGAACAATCATGTCGCTTGTAAAGATTATGATAATGAACAAAATGGGAAATTTTACAATGAGTTGTCGATGTTACACAACCTAAATCACTCGGAAAATATACTTGGATTTTATGGAATTTCAGAACAAGAAGAAGGACAGATTATGGTATTTGATTGGGCTGGTAAAGGAGACCTACAAACTTTGTACGAGAATTATGACATTGATTGGTATTTGAGGTTAAAAATTGCAGAGGGAATTTGTCGCGGTTTATTGTTTCTGCATGGATGTCATATTTATCACCGGGAACTTCGATGTCAAAATGTTTTGGTGAGTATTCTTTGGTATGTTATATTGAGACGGTATCTCTTCTACACTTGCTGTTGTCATTCAGACGTATGCGGACACGGAATTTAATTATTTGTTTATGCGTTCATCTGTCTGGTATTAGATTACGGGTGGTTTTGAACCAAAGCTTGCAAATTTTTGCTTTGGCAGACCAATGAAGTATAGTAGGAATTTTGTAGAAAATATAACAGCTGTTGTACACTGGATGGCTCCAGAAAAATTAAGGTTAGGGAATAAAGTGAAATTCTCCCATAAGTGCGATATTTTCAGGTATCGTTATGATTCTCTTTCTTATCTTACCTCGACGAGGGATTGGGTCATTTACATAAGTCCTCACATGTACGTATAACCAAAATCGTTCGTCAAATTTAGTTTTGGTATGCTCTTATGGGAGATTGCATTTGAGAAGATTCCATATAAAGATTGGAACTATACAACTATTATTGATCATGTAAAAGCTGGTAAAAGAGAGAGTATGGATTTGGGACCTAACTCAAGCGAAGTGAAAAGGGAATTTCTCAAAGTCATAAGAGCAGGTAAAAAACGATATTTTCTCTGATGAGATTGTGAATCAAATTTAACACCATCGATTTTATGACTTTAGCATGGCAGGATGATCCCACCCTCCGACCAGGCCTTCATGAATTACTCATTAGATTAGAGGAAGCAAGAATGAAATGTCACAATAATAATAATGCATATATTTTCGAGAAAAAAGTCGGGAACAATATTGAGTCAGAAACTTATGAAGATCAATCGGAACTTCGAGTCGTCGAAACAGAGAATAATATACAGGATAAGGACATAGAATTAAAGTTCATGCACATAGTTCAACCAATCCTCTTTCTTGAGGAAGGCATAAAATCTCATAAGAACGGTGAAAAACGCATAGCGTGGGAATGTTTTCAAGCACATGCGGATCTTGGAAACAACTATGCAAAATATTGGCAAGCGCATTACCTAACCGAAGGGTATCACATAGAAAAAGATGTTAAGAAAGGAACGAAATACTTTAAGGAAGCGGCCGATGCGGATGTTGCCGATTCGCAGTTACGTTATGCATTCTCACTTTACCATGACCAAATTATACAGGATACCGATGCATTCTTGTATTATCTAACCTTAGCGGCCGAAAACGGGAATGCAACAGCGCAGTTTAATTTAGGTCGAATGTATTATGCCGGTATGGTTGGTTTGAACAAAGATAAAGAGAAAGGATTGCAGTATTTGAAGATGGCAGCCTTGAAAAGTCAACCTAGAGCCATGCAGTTTTTGGAGAGTGTGAAAATAGATAGATATATCTGAATTCTTGTGAGTGCTTGTAAATATTAAACATAGGTGTTGTGCTTTCCGTAAATTGGAAATTAGCACATCCTACACTCATATGTTACGTTATGCTCACCTGTAGTTCAACTGACTAAATAAATAAATAATAACCAAGAGTTGTAAGGAAAATCTTGAGGAACATCCGGGTTTTATTAATTGGGTTAACATTGAAGTTGGCACTTTTCCATGACCATCCATTTAACTCGTTAAAGTCCGCCTTTTTTCTAAATACGAGTCGTTAATGAATCTTGAAATGGTAATTTGTCGAATAGTCTTGAGATTTTTCAGTACAGTTCGATGCACATCAAACATGAAAATAATAATTAAGCAATTTTGGTTATTAAATTTTTGCTACTGGCAAGGAAAAAAAGAATCATACAAAGAAGCCCGAAAGAAAGCATTGTAATTTTTTATTATCGAAAGTTTCTTATATACATAAATGTTGAAATAAATTAAAAAATGTGTGCATTTTCATTCCGAACGATCGGTAATGATTATTGGAATTAAAAAGTCATTAGAGGAAGGGATGGTTTATTAATTGTGAAAATATTAGAATTTACAAGTTTTGTTAATATTTTACAAAGTGTGAGAGTTCAGGGAGGATGATGAGTTATGATGAATCAGGTGTTTTTTAATCACGCGAATTGAAAGGTAACCGGGAATTGTCAGGCGAAACCAACATTACAATGAACGCATTAAACTTCATCGACCTTTTTTTCCAAGGCTTTCAAAAATTGTCGATATATGTTACGAAATTGACCTGCATAAGGCCACCGAAATTGAAATGCTAAAAGAGTGTGTTAATTTTAGTGACTGAATTGTTTGTGGGGAGCGTCAAGAATTCTGAACATACCGTAAGTGTCCTTTCCAAATTTCACCCATGCATCAGCAAAATCCCAAATTCCAATTGCCACTAATGCACCTTGCTCAATCCCCCACTCAATCAACACGTCACAACATTCCTTGGTAACATATTCTCCGCATGAGTTTTTGCATTCTCCCACCATGGCCAACAATTTTAATTTTGGAAACACTGCTGTGGTTAATGCTTCAGTCATTTGTTCATTTATGCCCGTACAATCTCGAAACTTTAATTTCTCAAGATTTATGCATTGGACTATATTTGACCACGGGACCTCGCTGTCGAATGTACACCCCCATAAATGGATGCTAGTCAATGAGGTTGACTGGCTTGAAAGGGTGGGGAATAATGAGGCCGGATGTATGTTTCCGAGTTTTAACGATTTGAGGTGACTCTGGGACTTCACTAGTTCTTGCAGTGAAACTAGTTCGTCGTTATAGCTGTAGTTCTGAGGTGTGTTTGCTAAGTAGACGAACAATTTGTCCTATTGTTATATAAAATAGAGGTGCGCAAAATACAGAGATTACGGTCAATTAACGAGTATAACTTTGATCCGACGTATTTCATTCCGTAAAAAAAAATTTTCAAAAAGATGGCATAATGCGATGAAATGTACCAAATTCTTGCAAGGATGACGCAACCCTTTAAGAATACAATCCTTTACAAAGTCCCCCTGAACCTTCAATTTTTTCACCGACTGTAACAAATCCTGAAACTCTTCTTCAATTATCCTCCTATACTTCCAATCCGTAGAAGTCCGATCCACCCATTCACCTAATACCAAATGCAATAATATCACCGATCTCGTCAAAAATAAACGAAACAGTGCACGCATCATCAACACTATAGCATTATAAGGTTCTTGATCCGTTTCTGTACACCATATTTCAACGGAATTACAGAATCTATCATAATCTAATCGTTTAAGCATTGCTGCATACGGAAATGCCGGATTTGGATATTGTGATTTGGGAAGCATTACACCCGCCGAGAGTAGGGCATGTCGCTCGGCAGAATTGAAACATGAGATATAGGTTTCTATTAATTTCGCGTTTCCATCTCTACAAAAGTAAAAACTATTCCGCCACAGTATAGGTACTGCGGCCTGGCACCATTGCCTATTAACCAACAAACAAGCGTGCAGGTACCTACGGGTATCCCGATCATACTTATCGGGATCCTTGCCGGCCTTTCTTATATAATTGAATATAATTCGGAGCACATCCAATGGGAGAAGTGATGCTAGAGAAATTGTGGATGATGATACTTTACTCATTTTATTTATGCTATATATTCTTGCGCAGAGTAAATCTGGAAATGGTATACTCTGATATTATCTATTGTCTATGATGGCGGTGGTCGATTTACTGGTGTGTTTAAGGAATGGGTTTGCGAAAATTCATTAAATTTTATAGATGAGCCCTATTTATAAGAAATCTGGTTATCATCTGTGTAACATCACATTAGCACAAATTATGATTTATTGCATGATGAATTCTGCATACTTACCCGAAGTTAATACATTTTTTCCATTAATCTATTAATCTTTATGTTTATCAACTACGCACAATAATTTTGAAATAAAGCTTTGTTTCAAAAAAAAAAAAACTATTTCAAACAAACAGTATACAGGTTTCATTAGCATTAGCAAATGTTATAACAAAATGAATAAATTTCAATGTTAATATTAATCTTATAATTCTGCAAATATTGGATATTGAATATTCAATAAAAAAAAAATTAATTAACAAAATAATATACCATGAAAAGAATTGAGTAACAAAATAATATATTATATATATTATACTGTATTTATAATTGATAAATAATAAATAATATTTTATATTATAATAAAAATATGATTATTAAAAATAATATTTAAAAATATTTAAACTCAAGATTATTTTTTAGATTCAATATATTACTATAAATAATTGTTATTTTTTATTTACATAAAATTATTATTATTAGTTTTATTTTAATTATACATGTATATAACAAATAAATAATTATTATATAAAAATAATAATTATTATATTTAATATATTGTATATACTATACATATTTATTTATTTATTTTATATATAATATAGTATATATTTTAAAAAAAATAATATTTTTTAATAAAAAGTATTGAAATATTTAGTTATTTTATAAAATTCATATAAAATAAATATCTTTTGATATAATTAAAAAAAAATTTTTTTTTTTCAACAACTAGCGTACATCTTGTTTTATTAGGTTATTTTAAACGCAGCATGTACAGATTCATATTCACAAATTTATCACTGCTAATTCCCAAATAGAACTACCTAAGATTCGGATTATCCTTATCTACCGGTCGACTTATTGCTCTCCATTCTTCCTATATTACCAGAACCAGAATCCTAATCACATAGGTAGAGTGCTAATGTGTTAGGATGTGCACCTTCTAATTCCACTCACCATCCGATGAATAGAAACTCGAAGAACTGTATCCTAATACTATCAGTCGTGGAACTAAGCCATATCCACAAGGAATCTTTGTGGCTCTAGCTACGGTCATATGAAAAACTGAATTGTTTCTTTTATAGTTGTGTGGACTATAGGAGGAAGGAAACGTGCTCCATACATGAGAAACAGGGATATCACCAAATTTGACAATTATCATCATAACACTGCCAGACGATCGTTACACCACTACGCCTTTCTTGGTATCACAATCCTAACACCTGTTAAATCAACGTGTGAATTGGCTTCTTATAGGAAACAGCACATGTTAGGTTATAGTGCCAGATATTATTTTAAGATGGTCCAGTTACCTTCACCTGGAACTGAATTTGGTATCTTGTGACGGCGATTAGAAGATGCCGATCCATTTCTTTCAGTTTGAGGTTTTCACGTTAGCCTTCTGGAGGATTTGAACCATTATCTTGTGATCTGACCTGCGGAGCACTAACCACTATGCTATAGACCCACAGGTCTTTTGATATAATTAAATTAACATATTAGATAACTTAAACTATTAATAGAATTTTTATTTTCTATATAATTTTATCTAACATATAGATTCTATTATAAATATAATATTGATATAATTAGATTATTAAAAATAATTAATTATAGTTAATACATTAACTCTTTTTACTGATTTTCTAATCATCATTCCAAAATGATATTCAATAGTTATCTTGTCTTATAACTATTTAAAATAGTTCATATACTTTTTAAAAAATATCATATTAGATAAAACAAAAGCTTTTATATTTATCTCTTTATTGTTTTTTTCTTTTTACTTTTTGACTAAGTACTATTCTACTTAAAAGTTTAAAAAAATCTAAATTTTTTATAATAAGAAAAATATTTTTAGAAAGTAAAACTATATTTTTGATTTTTGTTTTTTTTTTATTTCTTAAAACAAGATTAAAATTTGTTATAGGTTATACCATAGCAGGTTTTTGTTCTCAAGTTGAATTTTACTAGATTTCAAGTTTTTTTTCTCACTATATATAAAAAATTTTTCATTCTTCTAAGGGATTTTACTTATCTTAATTTGATTTTAATAATTTAGTTATATCAAATTTATTAAAAATTAATTGATTAAATTTCAGATTAAACAATAACTATATATTAAAAAAAATAATAAACAAGAGATATATATTGAAAATATATTTCCTAAGTTATTGTAACAATCCTGTGCTGCGCCAAGAGACCCGGAGCGCCCCTGAGCGACCCAGACGACCTACAAGGCCGGGTATA